GACCATTTGCCAGATTACCAGACGGGACAGAATGGTTAAATAGGTGATATGTTAGTTTGGTACTTATACTGAATACAAACACAACCTGACATATCCCCCGCCCTTCGTTTCAGAATAGAAGCTTTCGCTTGGTCGCCGGGGCAACCAAGCGAAAGCTTCGATTCTGAAACGAAGGCGGACTTAAAACCCCATTGCGTCGTGAATTGATCTATTCTAATATCTGGCCACGACATCGGTACCCTTTTCATATAATAAATAAATCTTACATAAATAATGTAATGTAATAATGCAAATACAATAAATACTATTTCTTGACATTTAATTGATTAATTAATGATAGTAACACTGATGGAAATATATGTTCGATTGTTTTTTAATATTATACAGTAATTTAATAATAAATAAGAATAAGAGAATAAAACACAAAACTTATTTTAAGTATCTATACAAAATTTATTTTAAGTTTTGCTTGCGTTTTTCGATTGAATATCTTTTTCTATTAAGTGTGAACTGGCAACACTTTTTCTTTGATGTATGGTGCTTTTGTCCTTTAACACCTTTTATTTGAAGATAGAACTTACTGACTTTTCTAGGCAATTTCAAACTATGAACCCGACAAAACACGAGGTGGACTTGAAACCCCACCGCCCCGATTCCACTAGCTACTCGTAACCTCCCCGGGCTGCTCGCAGCCCGGGGCAACCAAGCGAAAGCTAGTCTATCTATAATATATAAAGCTTAATTACCACTCACTGACTCACTCACTCACTCACTCCATGCTTTTTTCAGGTAAAAAGAGGGGGAAAATGACGTTTTCATGTATGAAGCGTGACGACGCGTTTTTAATCGAGTTGAAGTACCATATCGGTACAGCCAAAAAACAAAATGGCGGCGAGATAATTTTTTTAATTTTCCAAGTATACACTCTACGATTACGATATTCAAAATGGTCGTAGATATGGCTAAAAAAATTACACTGAAAAAAGGTTTAATTAAAAATACAAATGGCGGCCGAATTATTTCACCTGGAAATTTGGCATTTTTCGACCTCTGTTCGGGCAATCGTCGTTTCTTTTGTGGTGGGTTTGGAGGGGGGATTTTTAGGCCGGCGACTCGGAATTATAGTCGATTTTCACTTACGGGGAGTTTTGGCTTGCGAGTCAATATGGCGGCGATGGTGGCGGTCATTTTGTTTCGGCAATGAAAAATCGTCATTTTCCAGTGAGATTTTCTCCAAGATGGCGGCGTCGGACAGATTCGCTTGATTCGTCGTAGGGCTCAGTGGGATCTTTCTACTTCACTACCGATTTCTACCATTTTCGTGGTAGTTTATGAGATTTTGGGAGAAAAGTGAAATTTCGAAATACACACTTTTCGCGGAAAACAGACTCGGTGCGGTGTGGCGCCGAGGGAGCCCTATGACTTTTGGTAGTTTTCGTTTCCGCGAGCTGACAACCCTGGCTCCAGGGTAGAAAACATTTTTTTCGACATGCCCTCATAACCCGAATTGTTTGGGAACCTGGGTGGCCAGCAGAGAAAATCTGTGAATGAGGTGTCACGCCAAATATAGTCGTGACTATAGGAAAATTATGAAACTCGGGAAAATCATTATGGCGGCGCCAGCAGCGGCCATTTTGTGATTTTTTCACTTTTTCGAAAAATTCAAACGCACTTTTAGCCTACATGGCAACATCGGAGCTCTTCGCCTTGTATGGAGCGGTCGTGAGTCTTTGCTGGCTCTTTCGAATGAAGTGAATTTTTCCCCCGATTTTAGGGTAATTTCGGAGATTTACCCCAAAAAGGTGAAAAGTAGAAGGAGCCGTATTGGGATTTCAAAAATGCATTCCTTCGACGGAGGATGCTCCCAGAAATGATATTTGGCCATTTTCGTCGTCGACACCTGGCAACCCTGGTGTATGTGGCGATTTGAAAAATTTCACCCATTTTTTACTTTGTAGACTCTAGCGCAGTCAGTATTGCCACTAGGAAAATGGTAAAAAGTGCATCGAATGCGCTATCGAGTTGGCCACACCGGTACGGAGCCGGATTTTCGAAATTCAAGATGGCGGCCAAACCAGCGGCCATTTTATCCGGAAAATTGGGTATCGTCACCACGTCGAGCCGATTTTGACGCACTTGGCGACATTTGTCAGAGTACTTCCGGGGAAACATTTTTTAGGCAAGTAACTAAAGTGTTGCCTGGTGAAAAAAAATCTCGAAAATTTTTGATACTTTATGATAGTTTTGAGGAAACAATTTTTGTCGAATTTTTGAACTTTTTTGATGTAAATATTTTGATTTTAACTTTTCAAGATACGCGATGGAAAAAATAGAACGATCGACTGGCAACACTGAGAGCAAACAACGTTTGAAATTCAACCTCGATTTTGACCGACTTGGCAACCCCGAAGGTATTTTACATGTATGGAGCGATTGTGCATCTTTATAGACTCTTTCATATGGTCGAAAAAAATTACCCGATTTTAGGGTAGTTTTTGAGATTTACCCCAAAAACTGTAACTGTCAAAGGAACTATTTTAGAACTTGAAAATTGGTATCCGTCGAATGAGGGCACATCCCGAAATCACACTTAACCATTTTCATCGTCTACACCTGGCAACCCTGGCAGCTACGGCGGGTTGAATATTTAATGCTCACTATTCACGTTTTGGACTCTAGCGCAGTCATTATAGCCGCTAGGAAAATAATAAAAACTGCGTAGGATGTGCTAATAGGTGTGCTACACCGGTATGGGATTCAATTTACAAAATTCAAGATGGCGGCTTAAACTGCGACCATTTTATCTAGAAAATTGATCATTTTTTACGACTTTCACTTTATAGAGCTGATTTTAGCGTTTTTGGTAATATTTTTCCGAATAATTTTAACAAAAAATATGTTTTCAGCTGAAGTGTTGCCAGATGAAAAAAAATTTGAACATTTTTTGATACTGGGATTTTTGAGAAAGTTTCATGTATATTATTATGAAAAATATTAAATCATTTTTTTACAATGACTTTCCTGTTTAACAAAATTTTTATTGTTGCATTTATAACATAATTGATGGAATAATTTGAGTGATCGACTAGCAACACAGATAGTAATCACCATATAAATTTCAGAATGATTCTGACCGAGCTGGCGACTCGGGAGCTTTATAGCATATACAGACCGATTGTGTATCTTTACTCAATCTTTACGTGGTGAGAAAAAAATTCCAATTTTTTCCAAAAAAAAAGCGAGCGAGACATTGTCATTCGGTTGAATTAGTGTGTTGGATTAACTGTGACTAAAACAAAAAGCGAGTGAAGCGAGCCATAAAGAGTGACCAATTAGAGAGATTTGATTAATTGGTAAGGTAAGAACTGTGACTAAAATAAAATGCGAGCGAAGCGAGCCATAAAGAACACAACCAATAGAAATCTGATCAATCAGTTACATTAGAACTATGAATAAAACAAAAAGCGAGCGAAGCGAGCCCTAAAGAATAACTATTAAGAGTGATTTGGTTAATTGGTAAGGTTAGAACTGTGACTAAAATTGAATGCGAGCGAAGCGAGCCATAATAAATGGAGACCTGGTCAATTGCTTAAAGTACTGTGACCAAAATAAACAGCGAGCGAAGCGAGCCATAATGCTAGACCATTAAGAGAGACCTGATCAATCGATTATGTTAGCAACGTGTCTAAAACAAAAAGCGAGCGAAGCGAGCCATAAGGAGCAACTGTTAAGAGAGATTTGGTTAATTGGTAGGGTTAGAACCATGACTAAAATAAAATGCGAGCGAAGAGAGCAATAAAGGACACCAATAGAGACCTGGTCAATCGGTTAGATTAGAACTGCGAAAAAAACAAAAAAAAAAGCAAGCGAAGCGAGCCATAATAAATGGAGACCTGGTCAATCGGTTAAGGAACTGTGACCCAATGGTACTCTGAATCTCTGAAACAAATGTGCTTATAAGTGTGCTAGAAAATGTATAATTTTTTACGGTTTTTACTTTATAGAACTTTATGAGCAGTTTTTATTTTGATACTGTGATTTTTTGGAAATTTTCTATTGAATAAGAAAAAAAGACTACAAGGCGATCTATACAACATTTATTTTAAGTTTTCATACGTTTTTCAACTGAATATTTCTTTTTATATTGCGTATAAACTGGCAATCTTTTTTTTATGTATGATGTATTGCGTAATTTAGGATCTTTTATTTGAAGATAGAACTTACTAACTTTTTCTAGGCAATTTTATACTGTAAACCCAACATAACGAGAGGCGGTCTTAAAACTCCAATATCTGTATTAACTAAATATTAACTTACTTTTGAATAAGAATAAGAGAATAAATGACTACAAGCCGATCTATTCCAAATTTTATTTTAGTATTGCTTGCGTTTTTCAGTAGTAATGTTTCTTTTTCTATTTAGTGTAAACCGGCAACCCTTTTTCTTTGACGTATGGTGCGTTGTGTACTTAAACATAATTCATTTGAACATAGAACTCACTAACTTTTTCTAGGCAATTTCAAACTGTAAACATAACAAGAGGCGGACCTATTATCCCACCGCTCCGATTCCACAAGCGACTCGTTTATGCTCAAGAATTTTACAATAAGTACTTAAAGCAACAAAAACTTGTATAGGTTTGTTATAACATATGGGTTAGGTTAGGTTAGTGTATGAAAAACAAAGCCAGAAAAGAATCGCTTTTGTTGATGGTAACATTTGGTTTATAATATTTAAAAGATAATCGTGTAAGGCTGACTTTGAGCAATCCAGCCATGCTGTGACCATTTTTATTTCAATTTTGATTTCGATGGACTTGACAATTCGGGATCTTTATAGCGTGTATATATGGACCATTTGTGTAGGTATCTTTACCCACACTTTCACAAAGGTAAGTTTAGAGAAAAAAAAAAACAATTTTTGTCACGATATTTAATACTTAAAATATATTTTTCTATACTTTTAGATTATTGAGAAAACATGTTCTTTTGATATTCAAAATGAAAATGTTCTACGTAGGTATGAGTTTGAAATTTGACATTTATTTATTTGGTGTATTAGTTAAGGTAACACTTGGGGAAATATCTACTCGATCCTTTATCATATACTAAATATAAACTTGTTATTGAATAAGAATAAGAGACTATAATTTATTTAGAGTTTTGCTTGCGTTTTTCGACTGAATATTTCTTTTTCTGTTAGACGTATACTGACAACCCTTTTTCTTTGATATATGGTGCTTAAACACCTTTCATTTGAAGACAGAACTCACTAACGTTTTGTAGGCGAACTCAAACTTTAAAATAAACATAACAAAAAAAAACAAAAAACTCAAATTCTGCAACGGAGGCGGACTTAAAACCCCACCGCCCCGACTCCACTAGCTACTCGTGACCTCTCCGGGCTGCTCGCAGCCCGGGGCAACCAAGCGAAAGCTTCTATTCTGAAACGAAGGCGGACTTAAAACCCCATCGCGTCGTGAATTGATCTATTCTAATATCTGGCCACGACATCGGTTCCCTTTTCATCTAATAAATAATTCTTACATATATAATGTAATGTAATAATGCAATTGACATTTAATTGATTAATTAATGATAGTAACACTGATGGAAATATGTGTTTGATTGTTTTTTAATATTATACAGTAATTTACTAATAAATAAGAATAAGAGAATAAAAGACAAAACTTATTTTAAGTATCTATAAAAAAATTATTTTAAGTTTTGCTTGCGTTTTTCGACTGAATATTCCTTTTTCTATTAAGTGTCAACTGGCAACACTTTTTCTTTGATGTATGATGCTTTGTGTCCTTTAACACCTTTTATTTGAAGATAGAACTTACTGACCTTTTCTGCGCATTTTCAAACTGTAAACCCGACATAACAATAGGCGGACTTGAAACCCCACCGTCCCGATTCCACCAGCTACTCGTTACCTCCCCGGGCTGCTCGCAGCCCGGGGCAACCAAGCGAAAGCTAGTTAATAGTTATAAATATGATTTTGATTATTTCTATTGCAATAAAAAAGATCTTCAACTTCAAACAATCAAATCACCTGACATTAGTAGAACTGTGCGGAGCAGACAAGCTCCGCACAGTTCTACTAATGTCAGGTTGGTCTACTAATGTCATGGGAAAGAAACCCTTTTGTTCATCCCCAATGAACAAAAGGGTTCATCCCCAATGAACCCTTTTGTTCATTGGGGATGGGGGAGCTTTCCTTCGTTGGATGGTTCTGGGTGGAGACAACCACGGGGAAAAAATCGCCAATCCTACACTTGCCGTGGGTCAGAGGATGAGTGGCAGTTGGCAGTACTGTCGCTACACGGCCTCTGGAGGCGGGGACCGGCCGACCCCCGCCTTCACAACCCTTTTTTTTTTATACCGAGGGGAACTGACCTTAACATGCCATCGACCTGAGCGAGAGGCCGACTGAACCCGGGCTCTCCCACTGCAAGGGACGGCGGTCCAGTGCAGTGGGCCTACCGTGCAAAACCCCCCGTACTACCCTCTCGCGTGATCCGGGTACCCGGTACCTCAGAGTTAACCCCAGGCAGAACCGGATCGTGTGGACCGAAGTCCTCCCTCTGCGGTCAGGAGGTTTCCTGGGTAGTTCCGAGGAACCCTGCTCAGACAGTCGGGGTCGTGCAATGAGCGCCGGGTAGCCGACCCTTTGCTCGCCCCGTTAGGGAGCATAAGATGCGCTATTGTGCAATCTATGCCCCCTCTGCCGTCTGCCAAACACCCTGCGAGCAGAGTGTTCCCGCCGCTGCCATGGTGTCGGCCGCTGGTCGACGTGGCCCCTCCTCACATCGACTCATAACGCCAATGCGGTGAGCGCCCCGCCGAGCCGCAGTCGACTCCATCCCTTCGTCGCTGACCATGACTGGTAAACCTGCCATAGCCCGCCACGCCCCCGCCGCCGCCGGGCCCGACAGTCGAATTCGTCCATGGACTTTTTCATGGTCGTTTTGAAGGGGTCTAGCTCGACCGGAAGTGAGCGTAGTGGTTCTGCTGACACTGATTCTCCGAACAGAGGGGATGGGCCCAGCGCGGGCGGAAGTGCGTGTAGTGCGGTGTTGGAGTCCCCGAACCGAGGGGATGGGCCCAGCGCGGGCGGAGTAGCGCAGAGCGATGTTGAGGGTTCTTCTCAGAACCAGGAGCAGGCGAGCTCTCCGGAGTTCGTAATGCCTGCTTCACCAGCTAAAGATCCTCGTCTGAAGGATCAGCGCTTACGAGGAGGAAGAAACAAGTGCAGAGGTCCCCCTGCCGATTCCGGGAGGATTCATAAAGGTCTCGATAGGGATCGACCTAGATCAGCCACGCCGGCTGAAAATGAGGTGGATAGAAGACGTGGTCTGTCTTCCTCCATGGAGAATCTGGAGAAACTGGACGATGACGATGCGATAAGGGATCGCTCCCCTACATGCACTCGCGCATCTACACCTACACCAATGCGAGTGACGCGCTCTGTCGCTAGAGCGCAATCTGCGTCTATGTCTGAATCGCCTAATTTGACACAATTAACGCAGTTGGAGAGGACAAAGACTCGTTCAACTACATCTTTGAACTCGGATAAAGAGAATGGTCGTGGTGGTAGTCTGACGCTGGGCTATGGAGACACTGTGGTGAGAGACTCGAACATCGCTGGTTCGAAGAACTCTCTTGTCTCAGAAGCCTCTTTTGTCTCGGCTACCTCTGCTGCAGGCTTGAAGTCAAAGAGAGGACGCACGGCTTCTAGTTCAAGTGGGAATAGTGGTGACAGTTCCAACACTGTCACTAGACCGGACCGTAAAAGGCAGGCAGTGGAGTGTTGTTCTACTGAGGACTTGTTTTCGCCTCCTTCACCTCAGGCTCAGGGTCCATCGCCGGAGGAGACAAAACAACACGACTACGGCTATTGGGAAGCAATGGAGGAGTACAGTGGTGATGAGGAGGGTGTTCTTGAGATGAACCCGGAGCGCATCACTCCTAGCACAAAGGTCGAATCCATCACAGACTTCCACGAGAAGGCAATGATGGAACTGGTAAAGGTGGACTTCCTCTTCAAGAAGTCCAAAAATCTTAGCGGCAGACTCAAAGGAGCACTTAATACCTCCATTAGTGCCCTTCAAATTCTCATTGAAAAGACTCTGTCCCTGACTCCTGGTAAGGAGATACAAACTCTGAGGGATAGCAATGTCAGTCTCAAAACTGAAATGGCTGCTATTAAAGCAGAGGTTGCCGCCCTTCGTAGGGACCGAACAGAATGGACGACCAAGCTGAAACAGCTGGAGGAGCGGAGGGCTGCTCCAAGGGTCGTCCAGATTGAAGCTCCTGCCGAACTTAGGTGGCCCTAACGCCACCTGTCGCCGATTGTTCGCGGGAGTGGTCCGGAGCATGGCCCTCTACGGTTCCCCCGTGTGGGTGAACTCACTCAACGCCGACAACCGGGCTTTGTTGAGGAGACCACAGAGGGTAGTTGCCTTGAGAACAGTGTGTGCTTACCGATCGGTATCTGGTAGTGCGGCATGCGCCTTGGCTGGTATGCCTCCGTGGGAACTGGAAGCCCAGGTCCTATCGGAGGTATACAAGGCCCGCACTGAGGCAAGGAACAGGGGAGACCGTCTCGCCCCAGAAGAGATGGTGGAAGTGAGGAGACAAGCCAACGACGACCTAATGAGAGTCTGGAAGCAGAGTCTCGTGTCGCCAACCGTCGGCTTTCGCACCCTAACTGCCCTCCAACCTGTCCTTCAAGACTGGAAGGAGAGGCGACACGGGAAGGTAACATTCCGTTTGGTGCAGATACTGACCGGGCATGGTTGCTTCGGCAAATATCTGCACCGAATAGGGCGCGAGGAAACACCAGAGTGTCATCACTGTGGTGCTGTGGAAGACACCGCGCAACACACCCTCGAGGTGTGCAGTGCATGGTCTTCCCAGCGCTACGCTCTGATGCTCGTGGTGGGCCAGGACCTGTCCCTCCCCAACGTAGTTCGGTCTATGTTGGGCAGTCGCAGGTCCTGGAAGGCGGTTATCTCCTTCTGTGAGACAGTGATGACACAGAAGGAGGAGGCGGAGAGAGCCTGCGAAACGGCGGCCCGCGCCGGTTCTCGCCGCAGTCGTAGGACGGGGGATAGAAGGCGTCGCTATGCGTGCCCACCCCCGTCTTGAGGTCTGACTCCCTAACCCTGGGTTCTTCGTTCGGTCCGGTCTGCGTACTCCATCCTGGGCGAGTCCGCGCCCGTATACATGCTTTCGCATGTGTGTGGGCTCGTCTGGGTGGAGAGCACAGTAATGTGCACAGACTGGACCGGTCTCGTTGTCGTCTGTCTCTTTCTTCTCGCCAGGCAAAGGTGGAGGAGTGCGAGGGGACTGAGGGAGATGGCGGCGGGGTGAGAAGAACTCGGGAGGTGCCCTACTGTATAGTGGGGAGGGGAGTTCCCTTCGCTCCGTGGCTATGGCGCTGTCGGGGTCCTGGCATACATACACTCACATGCATGATACACACACATACATCACACTTACTCTACCCTACACAACACATACACACACAGTCACACTTTCACAGTTACACATACATATACATACACACACTTTCACACACACACGTGAGTGTGTGTGTGTGTGAAAGTGTGTCACACTTACTCTACCCTACACAACACATACACACACAATCACACTTTCACAGTTACACATACATATACATACACACACTTTCACACACACACACACCACACACACTCACACACTCTACACACACATTTACACGCCGTACTAGTCTAGAGTAGCATAGTGGGTACATACCTGGGTTACTTACCTGGGGACTTGCCTGCTGTGCTTGCTCGACGACTGGTGCGGCGCCGGGACCTCGGTAGGGCCGTAGCCGCGGCGCGATGAGAGGGGATGCGACCCGTCGACTGGCTGGACGCCTCTGTCTGCCCTTCGGGGCTGATACAGGGAGCGATGAGGCTGGTCTTCTGTGGCGCATCGACCTACGGGGGGGGCGGATTAACGATAAGGGCTATGCCTGTGTGGATCCTCCCAACTCGATGGGTAGGGGACCGGAGATTGCACAGTTGCGCATCTCTGGTCTCTAGTCAGGGGCAGCTGGCCGGTTCGCGCACCGGTCGGCATTGCACGCTCCTGCCTCGTCGTGGGGGTGCGTCTCGAATGTCTCTGAGGCGTACCCCCAACCCGAGTGGGACCTGCCCTTTTCAGGGCGTTTGGGGTGCGAAGTCTGGCAACCTCCTCGTGGTGCACCCTGGGCAAGGTGGCCGCTCGAAGTATCTTTGAGCCGCCACGGCTAATGTCAGACGACGCGAGGGCGACGGAGTATACTCCGTCCACGCGCGGATACGCGCGAGTGTGGGCTCCGGGCTGGCGCCTCGACGGTAAGTCGTGATGCGGCGGCCCGGTTCGGGCTGGACGGGCACCCTGCGTATCGCAGGAAGCGGCCGTGCCAGCGAGGGCAGTGGGCTCGTCGACACATTGGTGGGTGTGAGCGCTGAGTTTCGTTTCGACCCCTTCGGGAGGGTCGTCGTTGGCCCTTTTCAGGGCCGTCGTGAGGAGTGTAGGGGGGACCCAATTTTCGGGTCACGCATTGGGTGTTTCCCGTATTGGGAGTCTTGAGAGGATGGGTTCCGGTCCGGCGTCCTGACCGTTGTCGGGTAGCGGCGGGGCGGTTCGTGCTGGGCGGGCGTCTCGGAATTGATCCGAGCAGCGGCCGTGCTAGCGAGGGTGGTGGGCCTGGTGTGTTGCGGTGGCGCAAACATCGGGTGTTCTTTTAGAACAACCACCTGCCGAATCGTACCCCTGCGTTGAGCGGGGACGAGAAGGCTTTCCTTTGCTGGACGGTCTTGAGTGGAGGAAACCACGATAAAAAACAGCTAACCCTAAACTAGCCGTGGGTCGGAGGGTGAATGGCGTCGTGACACTGCCGCTGGAGATGGGGACAACCTGACCCCCATCTTCATAACCCTAGGCTTACCCGGATATGGAGCCTCTGCCCGGGTGGACTTGTTGTTGCGACCACTCTCGTGGGTACAAAATGGAGTTGTCAAATAATAAAAAACAAAAATCCGTTGTGAGGGGGCCTAACTCAGGCGGAAGTGAGTGTGGGGTGCGATGTCTGGCAACCTCCTCGTGGTGCACCCTGGGCAACATGGCCGCTCAAAGCAACTTTGAGCCGCCACGGCTAATGTCAGACGCAGAGTGGGCAACGGAGTTCTGGCTCTGGCAAGCGAGAAGTCTCGCGAGTGTGGGCTCCGGGCCGGCGCCCCGACGGTAAGTCGGGCAGCGGCGGCGCGGTTCGAGCTGGACGGGCGCCCTGGGTATCCCGGGAAGCGGCCGTGCCAGTGAGGGCGGTGGGCCCGCTGTCTCATGGTGGGCATGAGCGGCGGGTGCTGTGTTTTACAGCAACCACCGGCCGACCCCGTTACCCCACTGCTGTGGGGCCGGGGCGGGGGCTGCCCTTAGTTGGGTGGCCTCAAGAGGAGACAACCTCAATAAAAAACAACCAGCCCAAGCTGGACGTGGGCGAGGGGTTTGTGGCCGGCGGTTTCTAGCCGGTCGCGACACGTCCTCTGGAGGTGGGGAACAGGCGCCCCCCACCTTCACAACCCTAGCCTTACCCGGGTAAGTCGGCTCTGCCCGGGTGGACCATCACGACCGTTCGACTCGTGGGAACAAAAATGATGTTGAAACTTTTTCCTAAAACTCTTTTTGCTCTGATTGGTGGGGTTGACTCGGCCGGAAGCGAGCGTGTTAGATTTGCAGATGAAGAATCTCCGAACCGAGGAGATGAGCCTAGCGCGGGCGGAAGTGTGCGGCGTTCGGATACAGGTCCCTCTCAGGTCCTAGCTGGGACGAGCTCTTCTCAGAGCTCTACCGGCGTGTGCATAGACCCTTCTAAGGGTCCGCAAATCGCAGGAAGAGGCAGAGGAGGTGGCAGGCTCACAAGGAGTGCCACCAAGGTTGGAGTTGCTCGAGACCCAATATCGACCAGTTCGGCTGGTCCGTCAACATCTCGGGATAACGAGTCACTATATGATTCGTGCAGTGGAAGAGAGGAGAGCTTGGACAGAACTAACACACGCTCTCCTGAGCTAGTAACACAACAGGACGATACAGAGGATGGAGCGCTGAGAGAGCGCTCTCCTCACAGAACACCAACACCGACAACTAGGTCGAAGGCAAGAGCTGAGGCTGTCAATCCACCACCTGAACAGCTGGCTCAGATACCTGTCGTCGAGATCACAAGGTTAGACGATGACTCAGTAAAGGATGCGGAGGATAGCGACCCCCCTGAGAGTATCAGCACTACGGCTTCTCGAAGGTCCAGCGGTTCGGGAAATCTGCGATACTTCATGGGATGCGGAAAGAGAGCCCACTCTGACTCAAACAGTGCTGGCTCGGACAATAGCGCTGGCACCTTGACCGGGAGACGCATCGCTAAGAGGAAAACTAAGCGAGCGACTAAGCGAACGGCGGAAGAGAGTGAAGAGTTTGCTACACCCACAACTCCCGCTCCTCGCAGCAAGGCTGCTTATCTTAAAAAGGCGCCTGCCAAAACCTTAGATAGTGGCCATATGTGGGGTCTCGCCAAGAGCCGAAATGACACACAGATTGGTTCTGACGACGACTACGACCCAGTAATGGATGAAGGCGGTGAACCTGCTGATGGCAGAGCTCTCCCGCCGAGAGCACCTGTCACCATACTGGACATCAACGAGAGAGCCCTGGAGCAAATCAACAGGATTGCGAATGCCTGCGCAAAATCGCGCAATCTAAAGGGGACTATGGTTAAGGAGGTGAATCAAGGCATTAAAACCTTGAAGTACCTCCTTAACCAAACACTGACTGTCTCTGCTGACGAAGAAATTCGTATCCTCAGAGCGGAGAACACTCGTGTAAGATCGGAGTTGGCACACCTGAGCAATGAACTTAAAGCGCTCAAGAAAGACATGGCTGCCAGAGCCATGAATCCAGAGGGTACTACCAAGCGCAGTCAAAAGAAATCCTTGACCACCCCTCCAATCATTGTCCAGGGCAATGAAATGGATGAGGATCTCGGACTACCTTCTGGCACACTAGGGAGATTGCAAAATGCCGCCCTGGAAACGGCCAGCAAATATTTCGAAGCAAGGCTTGCGGGATTAGAGAGTCGACTTCCTCCCGAGAAGTCGTATCGTCCCCCCCTTGCTGCGGATAAAAGACGGGAGAGTGCCCAACAAAACGTCGACACTCAACCAGGCAAACCCTCCCCCTCGGGTTCATTCGAAGGGGGGCATCAGAAACCTAAGTCTGGTAAAGGCAGGGGTGCTGCGCTGCCTAAGAAGGGCGCAGCCCCAAATCCCAAGAAGGACGTGCCTTCTAGTTCGAAAGAGGCTGGCCAGAAGAAGAAGGCAACACCCCCTCAACAACAAGGGACTTTGTCTGCCTCAAATAAGAATAAGGGTAAGGGGAAGAATGGGAAACCTAAACCCCCCCCTAACCCCCCAACCAGGATTGACACCGTAATCCCCTCAACTCATACCGAGGCTAACAAAGGTGAGGACCAGAGCTGGTCTACGGTGGTAAAGCGAGGTAGTAGGAAAAAGCAAGCGACAAGTACACCAGTCGCCCCAGCAAAAACTACCCCCTCGAAAAAGGACACTTCCAAGAAGAAGCGCCCTAGGAAGCGAAACCTTAAGCTTCCCAAAACGGACGCTATCATCATTGACATTGCCAATGAAAGTGAGGAGAACGGAGTAACATACTCAAAGGTACTGGCTAAGGCTAGAAGAGAAATGAATCTCTCTAGCATGGGCATTGACCCAACGGGGCTTAAACTTCGACACACGGCAACGGGAGCTCGATTGTACGAACTCCCGAAGTCGTTAGGTGAAGACAAAATTGAGCTGTTCAGAGAAAAGCTCACCAGCGTTCTGGACGGAGTGGCTAAGGTCACACGTCCTGTTAAGGGGGCGGATCTTCGCATAGTCGATCTGGACGACTCAATCGTTCCTGAGGAGCTAGCCGAAGCAATCGCAGTGCAGGGCGGCTGTAGAGTGGACCAAGTAAGAGTGGGAGAATTTCGGTCTGGTCCCGGTGGTCTATTCTCCACAATGGCCCACTGTCCCCTGGCAGCTGCCAAAGCACTGGTAAATAAGGGCAAAGTTCTGGTTGGATGGTCCAGTGCCCGCGTCCGTCTTTTGGAGCCCCTACCCATGAGGTGCTTCAAATGTATGGGCGTGGGTCACACCAGAAGGACCTGTCCCAGCGAATCTGATCGCAGCAATGTCTGCTTCAGGTGCGGGGAGGAGGGCCATTTCGCGGCGTCCTGTAAGGCTCCGCTAAAATGTGTGTTATGTGCGGAATCAAACCGTTCACATAACCACAAACTGGGGAGTAAAAGTTGCACTGCCCCTAAAGTGCGACCGCTTCCTGCCCATAAGAGGGGAGGCAACAAGAGGGCTTCCGTTTCACCAACGGCAATGGAGGGAGTTCACGTGTTGACCACCGATGGATAGGGTCACCGTGAACTTTCTACAGGGAAACACCAACCACTGTGCCGGCGCTCAGGACCTTATCCTCCAGAGCGCCGCCAGTGCGAAGGCCGACTTGCTGATTTTCGCGGAGCCGTACGCTGTACCAGCCTCGGGTAACTGGACAGCAGACACGGACAACTCCGTGGTGATAGTGACTCCCACCACCGCTACATTTTCCCCTCCCTTTACAATTAGGGAAAGGGGGAAGGGTTATGTTGCGATTCTTTGGGGGGGGGTCACTGTCATTGGCGTGTATTTTTCTCCCACTAGACCTGTCTCGGAATACGAGGCATGGGTTGACAGGCTAGGGGAGGTAGTGGGCAGACTAGCGTCCAATCGGATGCTCATACTGGGGGACTTCAACGCCAAGCATACGGCTTGGGGTTCCCCCAGAAACACACTCGAGGGAGAACTAGTTTTCGAATGGGCGGCTGCATCTGGACTTATATTGCTGAACAGGGGTCGCGAATTTACATGTGTGAGAAGATTGAGAGGTGAGACGGTCGGCTCAATCGTGGATCTCACTTTCGCGACCCCTGCCCTAGCTGACAGAGCCATCAACTGGCGCGTACTCAAGGAGGATGAGACTCTTTCAGACCACAGATATATACGGTTTGAGATCTCTCCTCCCTTGAGAAGCAGCCAACAACCGGCTCCCCCTGAGCCGCATCGGTTCCCCCGCTGGGCCATCGCGGGACTGGACCCTCTCTCGATCGAGGAATCGGCGATAGTACAGGCCTGGGTTCTGGACTCGTACACTGAGGTCTCCGATGTTGACGAGCAAGCGGAGCGCTTAAGAGGATGCCTTACGGAGGTCTGCGACGCCTCAATGGCTCGTTCAACGGGCCCAAAAAGTCGCAACCAAGTCTATTGGTGGTCCGCCGAACTGGACGGCCTCCGTAAGGATTGCATGAGGAAGAGAAGAAGTCTCCATCGTCAACGGCGTAGGAGAAACAGAGACCTGGCAGTAGAGTCCAGCCTCAAGAGGAGTTATGCCGATGCAAAGCGCCATCTCAGAGAGTCCATCTGCAGGGCAAAAACAGCAGCCTGGCAGGAGTTCCTTGCTGATTTGGACAGGGATCCGTGGGGACGGCCCTATAAGCTTATTAGGAACCGTCTCAAGCAACATCCGCCCTCCACGGACCAAATGGATCCGGAACTCCTGGACAGAGTCGTCTCGGCGCTGTTCCCTGCAGCTGAACTGGAGGTCTCATCTCTTCTCCCCTCGCATAGGCTTCACGAGGAGGACACAGCAGAGAACTTCTCCCCGGTCACGGACGGGGAGATGGTGGCGGCTGATGAAAGACTCCGGCTAAAGAAAAAAGCCCCTGGTCCTGACGGGGTGCCCGGAAAAGCGCTTCGTCTTTCACTGAAGCACCTGGGATCACACATACGAGCCTTGTTCGACTCTTGTCTCGAGCAAGGTAGATTTCCCAGGTGCTGGAGGAAGGGCAGATTAGTGCTCCTAAGGAAGGACGGAAAACCGGCTGATTCGCCTTCCGGATATCGCCCTGTGGTCTTGCTGGACGAGGTCTGCAAGCTATTTGAAAGAATAGTTGCAGACCGCATTGTCCAGCATCTGGAGTCGATTGGTCCTAACCTATCGGATCGCCAGTTCGGCTTCCGCCGCCATCGCTCGACGGTGGATGCCATACTAGAGCTGAGGAAAGAGTGTGACAGGGCGTATGGTAGGGGAGAGGTTGTTGTTGCGGTGTCTCTGGACATTCGTAACGCGTTCAATTCCCTCCCCTATCAATACATTAGAGACGCTCTGGCATATCACGCGGTTCCAGCCTACCTGTGTCGCGTGATAGAGGAATACCTCAGCAATAGGGAGGTCGCTTACATCGACAATGCTGGCCGGATGGTGACGCGTCGTATGGTGTGTGGTGTTCCACAGGGGTCGGTGCTTGGTCCGCTCCTGTGGAACATTGGATACGACTGGGTGATACGTGGGACTCTCCTTGCTAGAATGGGTGTCGTCTGTTATGCGGACGACACCCTCGTTACGGCAAGAGGAGACAGCTTTGTCTCTGCGAGACGCCTCGCGGAGGTGGCCACGGAGCTGGTAATCCGGCGAATTGAAAGGCTGGGACTTCAAGTGGCCGTGGACAAGACTGAAGCCATCTTGTTCCACGGTCCACGCAGAGGGCCGCCGGCTGGGGCTCACCTAAGGGTGAATGGGGTGGGGATCCCCCTGAGACCACACCTCAAATACCTGGGTCTACACCTAGATGGAAGATGGCAGTTCACACACCATTTTGATCAAATGGTAACTAAACTGGAGAAAACTGCCATCTCCCTTGGTCGACTGTTGCCAAATATTGGGGGCCCTAACATCACCTGCCGCCGCCTTTACGCAGGTGTTGTTAGGAGCATGGCGTTATATGGGGCACCTGTTTGGGTCAACTCCCTAAACGCCCACAATAAGGCGCTTCTAAGAAGACCCCAGCGCATAGTCGCCTCCAGGGCAATCTGCGCCTACCGCACGGTCTCGGGAGGTGCGGCCTGTGCACTTGCAGGCATGCCCCCCTGGGAGCTAGAGGCCCGTGTGCTCGCCGACGTGTACAGGGGACGCGTTGAGGCTAGAGAGAACGGGGATCGTCTAGCCCCCGAGGAACTGGCGCAGATCAGACGCCAAGCCAATGAGGAGCTCATGAGGCTCTGGGCCCAAAACATTGAGCATCCTCCCACCGGCATCCGCACCCTAGCCGCCCTCCAACCTCTCCTTGCGGAGTGGAAGGACAGGCGGCACGGAAAACTCACTTTCCGATTGGTACAGGTACTTACCGGGCACGGCTGCTTCGGTAAGTATCTGTGCCGAATAGGGCGCGAGGAGACACCCGAGTGCCATCATTGCGATGCTGTGGAGGACACCGCGCAGCACACCCTCGAGGTGTGTAGTGCTTGGTCCTCCCAGCGGTACGCAATGTCACTCGTGGTGGGCCAGGACCTGTCCCTCCCCAACGTAGTTCGGTCTATGTTGGGCAGTCGCAGGTCCTGGGAGGCGGTCACCTCCTTCTGCGAGAACGTGATGTCGCAGAAGGAGGAGGCGGAGAGAGCCCGTGAGGAGGCGGCCCTTGCCGGTACTCTCCGCAGTCGTAGGACGGGGGGTAGAAGGCGTCGCTATGCGCGCCTACCCCCGTCCTGAGGTCGACACGGTTGGTTCCCGTGCCCCGTGGTACTCGTGCGGTACCAGCTGAGGACCTCCCCGAGGTGATGGACATGCGTTAGCGTGTCTGTCTCTCTTGGGGGGGGGGACGGCTGGAGCGGCTAGCAGCTGACTGGTTCCCTGGCAGGGTTACGTCTGCCGGGTGCGCCTGTGTCGCTGCTAGTGAGAGGTACATGGGGAGTCGACCTGCGTTCCGCAGGTAAGGGGATTTCCTCTGTGGTCCCGGTCTGGGTGCTCGGCTCGGCTGCCATACACACCGTTTTGGTGTGTGTGGCGGCCGGTCCGGGCGATACCATTTTGGGGCTGCGCAGAGAGGAGCGGCGGAGCCGGTTGATGAGGCCTGATAGCGCCCTTTTCAGGGCTGTGGTCGGGCCGTACTCCGGTGGTAGCTGCGACCGTACGGGGGGAGGGATCCACGATAAGGGCTCTGCCTGTGTGGGTCCTTCCAATAGATGGGAAAGAGACTAGAGATTGCACAGTCGCGCATCTATAGTCCCTAGTCGGGGGCAGCTGGCTGGTTCGCGCACTAGCCGGCATTGCACGTCTCCGCCCTGTCTGGGGGGTACGTCTCAAGTGTCTCTGAGATGTGCCGCCCAACCCGCGAGGGACCTGCCCTTTTCAGGGCGGGCCGAAATGGGGGCGAATTGCGCGGTGTATGGCCTCCGGGCCGATCCCGCGCCTCGCCCACCATGAGAGGGACATCGCTGAGTTTTAGTGGGTAAACTCCTGTATTTTGTCTAGCCCCCATTCTGGGGGCGGGACCACAGGAGGAGTCCCACAGACCCCGTGAACCCCAGCGCATGGGGGGAGCGGACATGCGGAATGCATTTCTCAGCGTCAAAAAAAAAAAAAAAAAAAAAAAAAAAAGGCGGAAGTGAGTGTGTGCCAAATAGGGATGCTAAGGGAAGGTTTGTTAGCAGGAAAAAAGAGGAACCGCTTTCAAAGAACGTGGTAAGGAAAGAGGAATTTCCGCCTTTACAAAGAGCGAAGAAGCAGAGGGTTGATGAGCCAGAGAAACCTGGCCCATCCAATTGTGATGGTGATATTGACGAGAGTGAATCGGATGAATTGGAGGATTCTGAAGAGTCCGATACAGAGAACGAGGATGAACTCCCTTCTCCTAATGCGATGTTGTCTGCCGATCTGACGAATCAGCTACGGCAAAATAGGGAGGCCCTTTTAGCAGAGGTGAATTTTATGGTGGACGGAATGGAGGCGGTCATTAATGATCGATACTATGGGAGAGGAAAGTTGGCAGACGAGATCTGCGAATTTGGTGGACAAGGACTGGTAGGCGTCAGGCATTACTACCTGAAAGCTGACAAATTGTGGGACAAGGTGGAAGAATATTTCTTCAAGTCAGGCAAAGCGCTTGATGAGATGAGTTCGAACATCAGGAGGCTTATGAGGAGGAATAAGAATCTCAAATGTGAGATTATGATGCTTAGGACGGGGGTCTTGAAATCAAGAGTGGATGAGATTCTTGGGAAAAAGTTGAGGGATGCTGGATGTGGTACAGAGGCAAGAGAGGTGAGGGATGTGACGTGTGGCGCGAAAGCAAGACCGGGTGTGCGTGAGCGTCGTATCCAAACGGAGACTTCCGTGTCTCCGAGTACGAAAGAGGCGATGACAATGGTTGTGCTGTGTATGAGGGAGCGTGGTTGCCAAACGGAGACTTCTGTGTCCCCGGGTATGAGCGATTGGCTGAATGAACCGGTGATGAGGGATAGGTGCACTCAGGCTGAGGTCTTTGTGCCCCTGAAGAACTTTTCTGATGCGGGTATCCAGCATGTGCAGCATGTTGGTCATTGTGATGTTGGAGTACAGTCAACGATCGAGGTTGTAGGGATCGACGTTGGCTGCGAGACGGAGGAAGTCGTGCCTTAGCGACTGACTGATTTTGAGGGTGTACTGTCCCCTGAAGTGACACCTGTTATTCCCTAGAGGAAGAGGAGAAAGGTAGAGGAAAAGAATAGAGAGGATAAGGAGAGGAGGGTTGGGGGGAAAGAGGCACCTATGCCTCCGAGACAGGCACCTGCACCAATGGAGCGAGCACCAGTGCCAGAGGCACGGGAGCCCCCTTACACCCATAAAAAGAAAGGGAGGGCGAAATTAAAAGAGATGGGCACGACTGCCATCTTAGTCTCCATCCCCCCTGAAGAGGAGAAGAAGGGGTCAATTACAGGGAAGCCAAGCGGTCGATACAGCTTCAGGATCTGGGGATCTCAGGAGTTAAAATGGGAAGAGCCGCCACCAGGGCCTTGCTTTTAAAAGTACCGGGAGCGAAGAGTGAGGAGCAAGCAGACAAGCTTGCCCTCAGATTGAGGGAAGTCTTTGGGAGTGGAGTGAGGGTGTCCAGACCAGTGAAACGTATTGACCTTCGTATACTGGATCTGGATGATGCTGTGGAGGCTGAGGAGTTGCGGACTGCGATCTCTAACAAGGGGGTCTGCCCTCCCGAACAAATTGTGGTGGGACCTATTTCTGATGAAATTAGTGGAGGACGAATCGCGCATGTGCGCGTTCCGGTGGTGGCGGCTAATGCGCTACTTGATGGTAGTGATATGGTGGTTGGCTGGACTGTTGCCAAGGTTCAGCGTTTGGAGCCCCTGCCCATGCGCTGTTTTAAGTGTATGGGCACAGGACATGTCCGTAATGCATGTCCTGCGAAGGAGGACAGGTCCAACACCTGTTTTAGGAGCGGCGGAGCCGGTTGATGAGGCCTGATAACGCCCTTTTCAGGGCTGTGGTCGGGCCGTACTCCGGTGGCAGCCGCGACCGTACGGGGAGAGGGATACACGATAAGGGCTATGCCTGTGTGGGTCCTTCCAATTAGATGGGAAAGACGCTGGAGATTGCACAGTCGCGCATCTCTAGTCCCTAGTCGGGAGCAGCTGGCTGGTTTGCGCACTAGCCGGCATTGCACGTCTCCGCCCTTTCTGGGGGGGTACGTCTCGAGTGTCTCTGAGATGTGCCCTCCAACCCGAAGTGGGACCTGCCCTTTTCAGGGCGTGCCGAAATGGGGGCGAACTGCGCGGTGCATGGCCACCAGCCGATTCCGTGTATCGCCTTCCATACGAGGGACATCGCTGAGTTTTAGTGGGTAAACTCCTGTTTCTTGTCTAGCCCCTTCGCGGGTGGGGCCGCAGGAGGAGTCCCACATAACCCGTGAAGCCTGCACAGGGTGTAACGGGTATGCGTAACACATTTCTCAGTGTCAAAAAAAAAAAAAGGTTTGAATAACTTCAGGTGTCACCCGCAAACTTAACCCCGTAACTTCTTCAACTTTTGACTTACGCCGAAACTGTCTTCGGAGCTCCGTTAGAGCTCGTCCGCTCCCACCCGAAACCGTTGAGAGCTTGCACCTATCTGTCACGGCCGTGATTTATCCCACCTAACGTGAGGTTAGGTTTTGAAAATCACTAAAACCGCGATTACTTTTGTACCTTTTGGGGTACAACTCTCCTTCGTATACCAAAAGATAGCTTGTCCAAATGCCTAACGAAAGCCGTTAGTCACTTGGTCAAACCACCCGAACTTCCCTCACAATCTTCTTTTTAGCGACCGCGATCTCGTCGAAATAGGTGAAAAAATCGACCTTTGATAGATCCTTCACCACACCTCGACCAATCGTCGGATCCCAACAAAAACCGCATAAAACGAAAAAGCACAAACCAGTCCGTATATACAATGCCAAAAGTCGTTAGAAAAATCTCTCTAGTTCGCCAAAAAAGTGCTTACAAAAATGTAAATAAACTTTTTTGGCGAAAAACACAACACCAAATCTCACAAACAGAAAACCTATTAACAGAAAATAATTTCGGGCCCCTTGGAGTTAGGTGGTGTTATGCGCTATATAATGTTTGAAACAATCGATATCGATCCCTTCACGTCGAAAAAACCATCAACGTACTAAGTTTAGTCCTCCAAAAGTCCGTCAAGGCGGCTCTGCCTTTTTTTTTTTTTAACGCAGGGGAAATGCTCCTTAAGCCTTAAACCAGGGCTCCTCCTCCACCCCCGTCCTGAAAAGGACAGGCCGCCCTGAAAAGGGCAGTAAGTGAAGGCCCTACCTGGTAAAACCCGCTGCGGTTCACCTCACGCGAATGGATGAGTCTGGTATCCAGCAAGGAGGGCCCAGACTCAATCCGCGCTGGGACTCCTCTCTTAGGGGGAAGAGAGAAGTCACCCTCTGCGGGATGGGAGGAGCTTGGGTGAATAACAACTCCTCCCCGACGGTGGACCGTCCCGACGAGCTAGCCTCGCCAGGGTGCAGGGTGGGGTGTCAGCCCTCGTCCCGCCGTTCCACAGAAGGATGGGATGCGTTAATACGCGATCCCAACCCCCTTGCCGTCTTTGTTGGGGTGTCACTTCTGTGACACACCCTTCCCGCTGCCAACGGGCCCTTGTCATCCCCCGGCGCCGCCCGGCCGATCCATGCAAGCATGCATGCATGATTCGGCCGGGCAGCGCCGGGCGAGGAGAGGGTACCCGGATCCCCTTGTCGTGTCTGCAGTTCCCACACCAACGGCCGGGCGTCCGACCCATCCTAATGATGAGCCTCACCACCCGACCGCCCGTGAAGGCACCGCAGTCGTGATGACGTCGTCAGCAGGGCGCGCACATTTACAAATCTTATACACTTACATGCACACACACATCTACACACATTCATTCATTCATCACTTGCATTCATCTCTTCATACATTTACATTCATATTCCACAATCATACACTCTCTTTCTCTCATACATCACATTCTAACACACATTCAGATCGCATCCGGAGCGCGGGGCGCGGTCCCACCGCCATTGACGGTGAGGCCGCGGTAACGCGCCCCAGTTGCAACATCGCGCCTGCCTTCTTCATCACTACAATGCAATCACAGAGTTCCACCGCCGGAAGATACGTCCCGCATGTCCTAGGACATGCGTTTCGACCTCCCGGCGACATCCCTGCGATCGCCCACGACGGGGATCATCTTGGTCCACTGAATCGCCTTGCGGGCGCCGCTACTCTGCAGCCCTCCCTCCTAGGAGGGGCTGTACGAGCCGCGGCGCTAGCGGGCGGCGGGTAGCGGCCGGCGGGCCCGACAGAGGGCAATGTGAGCACGCAGCTCTGCCCTTCGCCCGGCCCGCCGGCCGATCACCACCGCCAGCGACCCCATGAAGCAAGATTGGCTACTCAGGTTGAACGGGCGGATTCGTTGGCATAACGCCTACGTCTCCCCCCTCTCACCCTGCAGCGGTGGGAACCAGCCGGGGCCTCTCTTTCCCGGATTCCCTCCGCAACCTCCTTCTGGGACATGACGTCCTCACAGAAGGAGGCGACCGCTCGCCAGGATCTCTCGTCATTCAGCATGGCAGCTACCACGCTGGGCAAGGAGAGATCCTGACTCCCTAGTGCGTCTGCCAACACTCTCCGCTGTTCCGACCATGCTCTGTACTCAGTCAGAGTGTGGAGCGCCGTGTCTACTGCAGCATCACAGTGATGGCAGCGCGGGGTCTCTTCCTTTTGTAGGCGGTGCAGGTACTGGCCAAAGCACCCGTGACCCGATAGGATCTGCACCAGCCTAAAGGTGAGTGTCCCCTTCCTCCTTTCTAGCCACTGCTCGAGTACAGGCCGGATAGCGTTTATGGTTCTGGTCCCGTATATCGGGTCCTCGAGCCTACGCTTCCAGCTTTCCAGCAGGGCTTCCCGCGCGGTCCTTCGCGCCGCGACCATTTCTTCCAAGGTGGCCGGCTCCTCCCTTGCGAGAGCCTCCACCCTTCCCTGGTACACCTCTCTGAGGACCTGGGCATCTAAGTCCCAGGGGGGCATTCCAGCTAACACACAGCCAGCCGCCCCAGAAATGGTTTTATACCCCCTCGCGGCGCGGTTTACGATTACTCGCTGAGCTCTTGCCAGGATGGTCCGATTGGGCTCGTTTTTTAGAGAGGCCGCCCAGATCGGCGCTCCATATAAGGCCATGGACCTCACCACCCCGGCATACAGTCTCCGACAGGCAGAGCCGGGCCCTCCCACATTTGGTAGAAGTTTGCCAAGAGCAGCTGCCGCCTTCAGAATTTTAGGCTCTAACTGCTTGAAATGATGGTCAAACTTCCACCGTCCATCAAGTACTAGACCCAAGTACTTGATGCTCTGCCTCATCGGTATGACTTCCCTCCCGAGTCTCATGTTTGCCCCAGCCGGCGGTCCCCTCCTGGGGCCATGAAAGACGATAGTTTCGGTTTTCTCTACTGCAACATTGAGGCCTAGTCTACCGATCCTCTCGATGACATGTGCAGTCCCTTCCTCCGCTATCACTTTGGCTATGCCAAAGCTCCCTCCCCTGGCTGCTATCAGGGCATCCGCGTAGCAGATGACATTGAGGCCCCTGGGTAGGCGTCCCCTTAGCAGCCAGTCGTAACCTAAGTTCCACAGGAGTGGTCCCAGGACCGACCCCTGTGGAACACCACACTTCATTTCCCTAGTGACTAGGGCCCCGTTAGCATCTTGGAACATTATCATCCTGTTCTCAAGGTAGCTGTCCACCAGCTTAATCAGGTACCCAGGGAGCCTGTGGTAGTGCAAAGCCTGTCTGTTACATGGGAAGGAGAGGGAGTTGAACGCGTTGCTGATATCAATAGATACCGCAACAACTCTTTCTCCCCTTTCCTCCGCCTCCTTGGTTATCCTACGGAGTTCCGCTATCGCATCGATTGTGCTTCTGCGTTTCCTGAACCCGAATTGTTTGCTGGACAGGTTCGGACCCTCCGTGTCCAGGTGTCTCGTAATTCGGTCCGCTAGTACCCTCTCGAACACCTTGCCCAATTCGCTCAACAGAACGATAGGGCGATAGGCAGAGGGTGATTCGGGTGTTCTCCCTTCCTTTCGCAGCAAGCACAATCTGCCTCGCTTCCACTCCGCAGGAAAGTTGCCTTCTGTAAGGCATCTATTTAGCAGGCTTTGCAGGTTTTCCCCTAGGTACCTGTGAATCATCGGTAGCACCCTTCCTGGGATGCCATCTGGCCCTGGGGCCTTTTTCTTCCCCCTTCTGGAGAGTATTATCTCCGTAAGCTCGTCTTCAGTGATAGGATGAGGAGGAGGCTCTTGCTCCTGTGTCCCTCTGTCCGGGAGGACCATTAGTGGCCTTGTCTGGGGTGGGTTGGCTGGAAAAAGGCCGTCCACCACTCTGTCCAGAAGTTCTGGTTCTAGTGAGCTCGTGGGTGGGGCGTGGCTTTTCATCCTATACCTCATCATACGGAAAGGACGGCCCCATGGGTCCCTGTCGAG